CTCAAGCTTGCATGGAGCTGGAAATGGAATTTCAAGAATACAGTCTTGTAGTAAGTATAATCTTGTAGTAAGTATAATAATTATTTTTTTGTAATTTGTAACTAATGATAACATCATTAGGAAAATATGTTATTATTCCATTTCTTTTTTACTTGCAGTAACACTAAAGGGAACTTTTCTCCTTGTCTTGTAACTTGTTCTTCATATTTCATCATTACAATTTAGTAGTATTTTTGTATTTCACCATTATAGTTTAGTAGTAACCAGAGCCTGTGTTACCAATTTATAGTAAACTATGTGTAGTCCTTTATATGCAAGGAGTATGAAGTATGCAGTGAAGTATGAGTACTAAATGGTGATTGATTTATCCACTCATCATACAAAAGTCTCTCTTCTTTGCATATCTTCTTCTGTATAGCTGTCTACCTGATGATACCTTTACCCTGACGAGGCCCACTTAACTCTGTCTAGCTATTACTTTGGTCTTGTTTTCCACCAGCCCATATTGGTTTCCCCTCCCAAATGAAGTTGTATTTCAGTGTGTCTAAAGTAGTTTTATCTACTCCGTTTCAGCCTACCACACAATCTCTTGTTCACTTTCTATACATTTTACCCAGCAACTAGCAATGTAGTGATCGTCGAACCTAGTGCCGTGTGTTTCTGCTTTGTGTGGGGATGTGGTGGTTCCAGACTTTTCCTCCACCATTCGTACTCAGGCTATCTATATGGGTAGTTGGAGTTATGTCTTACTCTGACCCCTAGGAGGGAGACATGAGGTCATAGTCCCAGTATTCATATTCCCAAACTTGGGAGGCCCGAAGTGTGTTCAGAGTATACTGGCCAAGAGTCATCAACCAGATATGTCGAAGTCTGCATCCGAAGTGGTTTGTAGCCCCTTCTCCCTCTTTGTGTCTCAAGTAGTATTTCCCCAGCACGTGATGGTCTTTTATTTCTTTGTCTTCGTTCCTAACAACAGAATGACAGCATTTACTCTGTCAAAGGAACCGTGCTAACTGGTTTATATTCACTGTATTTAGTTCCACCAACAACTCTGTGGGGTAGTTTCTATCATCATTCCCATTTTGCAGATGAGGAAACAGTTTTAGGTAGGTTATGTAATGATTTGCCCACGGTCATGCAGGTGGATGTGTGGAGATTCAAACACAGGTCAGGTACCCCCAGGGCTTGTGCTTTTAACTGCTGTGATGTTCTGACTTCACATGCTGTCCTCTGCTTGGTGTTCTTTTTTTCCTGATTTACCCAGTTTACTCCTGTTTACCTTTATAGTGCAGCTCAAATACCCTTGGCAAAGTCTTCATTGCCTCGTTGATGACCCTAACACACTCTCCCAAATACCCCCCAAACAAGTCTAGTGTGGATTAGATTTTTGGTGCTTACCTCTTTTATTCAGTGTCTCATGCTTTACTGTTGGTGTGTTTGTCTTCCTTACTAGATTGTAATCTCCCCCTGGGATTGGACCATAGTCTATTCGATTTTCTGTTTCCAGTGCCTGGAAAGTTGCCTGAACATAAAGAACTCTCAGTAAATACTTGAATGAATGAATTTCATAGGGTTGTATCTTAGGGCTTGACCTGTTAAATATTTGAATTAATGACTTGTGTAAAGACACAGAGACAACCTATAAAATTTGCTAATGGTGTAAAACTGAGAGGACCACTAACTGATTTTATGTCAGGAAGATAGGACAATTAGCCAAATATATCATGAAGAGATTTAACAGAGAA